ATTTTTCGCCGAAATCTGCAGAAAAAAGAGAAAATTCAGGTTTCCAAAAGGAATTAGCTTATAGCTTAAGTTATGAGTTAAGCTTACGCGACAAAAAAAAGAAAAAAAATTAAAAATTTGTTTGGGAAAAAGAACAATAAAATTTCTAAATTGTTAACAGTCTTTCTTGAGCCAAGAAATTATCTCAAAACAAAAAATTGTTATTCATTTTTTTACTCCAAATTCTCTTGCATATGGCTACTCTTATCTTTTATAAATTCTCTGTAGCAAGGAAAATATGCACGATTTATTTTTTTCAACAAAGGAAACGGGGTCAAGAAGTAAATATTTGCTTACGTGACGAATTTTTTTGTTTTTTGTTTTATGGCAAAAAAAGAGATAACACGGAGGGGACACTTCATTTAGGAAGCTATTTAGAAATAACCAAATTACTGATTAAATTACTAGCTGTTTACTTCATTAGAAAGGCTTACTATTTTCCTACAAAATAGCGTGCAAATTTTATGAAAATCTTTTGTCTCTGGTTTTTTATGGGGGTGTGAAGTCAGGCAGTCAAAAAAGGCGACAACTCGAAGACGCAATTTAGGCATTTTGTTTCACAGCAACCTATGTTGGTATCAAATGATAAAAGATAGAGCATAATAAATTAGGTATATCGGCAAATTTTCAGAACAACTTGTTCAGCCGATTTCTTTGTAGGGCTTTTTATCGAATTTTACAAAAAAACCCTAATTTTTTGCACTCAAATTTGCTTCAAAATGGACTCAAATTGGCTCAAAAAGATAGAAAAGTGATTAATTAACATTTTCTATTTTGAGCCAATTTTAGGTCAATTGGTGAATTGTCATAAACGCTAGTGGAAAAAAAAGCCTCCAAAGGTATCGGCTAACCTAATAGAACAAAATTTGCTAGATTGCTATTTTTGCTAAAAACCTAAACCTAATATTGGATTGGGGAATTGAAAACTGCGGGTTATTGTCATATGTGACAGTTTGAGCACTTTCTTCAAAAGAAACCCATTTTGGTGTCAATGGAAGAGTTGTAGAGAATCAAAAATCAAGCTTATATCCAAATTTTCAGAACGATTCAAAAACTGGTTTTCTAGAAATGCCAAATTTACGAATTTTCACAAAACTTGCATTTTAAGCGAAACTACTAAGTGTATCTTTTTGGAAATTTGACTATAAGCCTAATTTTTGATTCTCTACAACTTCTCTATTGACACCAAAATGGGTTTTTTTGAAGAAAGTGCTCAAACTGGGACATATGACAATAGCCCGTAGTTTTCAATTCACCAACCCAATAGATCAGTTTTTCGCGCTGATTCCGAATCTGACAAAAAAGGAAAAAAATTAAAAATATAAAAATAAAAATAAAAGTTTCTAAATTGTTAACAGTCTTTCATGAGCCAAGAAATGTTCTCAAAAATGAATAACAAAAATTGTTATTAATTTTTTTACTCCAAATTCTCTTGCATACGGCTACTCTTATCTTTTATAAATTCTCTGTAGCAAGGAAAATATGCACGCTTTATCTTTTTCAACAAAGGAAACGGGGCGAAGAAGTAAATATTTGCTTACGTGACAAATTTTTTGTTTTATGGCAAAAAAGAGATAACACGGAGGGAACATTTCATTTAGAAAGCTATTTCGAAATAACCAAATTACTGATTAAATTACCAGAGGCTTACTTCATTAAAAAGGCTTACTATTTTCCTACAAAATAGCGTGCAAATTTTATGAAAATCTTGTAACATTTTGTCTACTTCATCATACAAGCATGTGCCATGGAGATTCTGAAAGCTCTTTTTTTAGCCCAAGATGCAAGATGCAAGATGCACTTTTAAGACGTTTAAGAATTCAAAAATTTGCGACGATTTTCAATGGCTTAAATCAAAGGTAAAAATTTGTGTGCTTTTCAGAGCGATTTTTATCTATTGTAGACCCTTCGAATCAATTTTAAACTGTGTTTTTTGGAACGAGCGCAACAAAATTGATCCTAGAAAAGTGTTTTTCGGAATTTTTTAACGGTTTTCACTAAACAAATAACGCCGAAATGGAAATTGCCGTCTTAAGTAGAGTGCGTGCCTTTCAAACAAGGCGTTCTCAAATGCGCATGCGAAAATGGCGTTCTCAAATGCGAAAAATTTTTCCGGTCAAAATTCAAGTTTGACATACCATATAAAACTAACTTTACAGGAAAGTGCAAGCTATTTTTACGATTTGAGCTCACAAGTTTCAAAGGATTTTTCGAAAACAAAAAACTGAAAGAGTCAAAAATCCAATAATCCGTTGTCGGCGAAACTTCCAGCAAAAAAAAGATCGCGAACAAGACAAAACTTCGGTCCGTAAATAATCGTCCCGAACCCTCCAAAATTAGTTGGACCTATTAATAGGCAAAACAAGTGAAAACGCAAGAACTTCGAATCTTGGCGGATATCCGCAAGAAAAGTGTAGCCTGAAGAAGCTCGAATTTATTGGTCGAAAAATAACCATTCAAAAATGCTAACACCGGGAAATAAAAAAATTGATTAACAAAAATATCACATTTACAGTATTCAATTAATCATTCGGTAAGAAGAATTGCTTGCAGCTGTGATCCGTTTGTGCCTTCTCTAAAGTCAATTGATGCTAAAGTTCAATTTTTGATAATAAAGAAACCGTATGCTTACCTTTACATTGTCCTTATTTTCGTACCATCTACTCATTCAAAAACTACAAAGTTTGATATCTTTGAAGATTAATTGTCCAGTTGGAATCTAAACTTGAAAAAAATAAAAAAATGGAGAAAAATCACTACCGGAAGTGGTTGTTTGCTCATTCTACCATAAGTGGCCATAACTCCATTATGGTCAAGTGCCATTGCGAGAAGTAAAGCCGATCGACCACCAACACAATTCAATGCCAGCCAGTGGTTGAATTTGCCGCAATATTCGTAAGCGAGAGAAGTTTAAGCATGGATTACTAAAAACGACTTCTAATTGATTAGATCACGAAAATTTCACAAACCTTAATCATTCTTCTGTGATCACCAAATCCGCGTCCAAACTTTTCATGTGATCTTCGAGTTTCTTTTGTGCATCCGGTGTTTCTCGTTTGCCCATAATGTTCACACTCTTGATTCCACGTGCACGGCATATCTAAATGTCATAAGTTATGATCAAAGTGAGACTCAAAAAAATTATATTGTCCGGAATTGTGCCTCATCGATGGCAAAGATGCGTTAATCTTGAATACATCCCAATTGATCATATGTCTTGTGTGACATATGTGACCAACCTTCAATACGCAACCGAGCACCATGTTCTCATTCCAGATTTTGTGGGTATCACGTGATCGCCAACTTTCAGAGAGCGGACTTCTGTACGAATCTGAATTCAAATTAAATAAATCAACATTTGCTAGCTTACATCTTATATTTGTCCATATCCTTCAGAACCTCCAACTGCGGGCATTGGTGGTTTGATCGGATAAATACCCTAAAGCAAAAAATGCTAGATAATTCGGAAACGGTTTCGATGAGGCACGTGCTGAAATCAGTAGATGACCCTCGAGCTTTACTAGTTCCAAAACAAGCCTTCTCGATGAAACCGTCTTTCTGCCGAATGAGCTTACATGGCCGAACGTCGTAGACAAGGCAACATCTCTGAAAAAAATAAAAGTTAGATCAGTAACATTCAAAGGGATAATGACGACAGATCACAAAACAAACGAAAACAGAAGAGAAAATGGAGGTTTTAAAAACGAGCAAAAGACTTGTATATATACGCTCATTTGATAGCAAATTACTTAGTTGTTCAACTGAATATCTTTTGACTTCACAGTGTTAAAAGGCTTTTTGAGTTGAATCGAGGTCATTTCTCATCATTTTTATTTCTGGTCCATTCACTACACCGCCTTCTTCTAATGCGAATCCTGCAAAACGTTTTCAACTTAGCCAAGGTGAAGATTTTTTAACTTGAAATGGCACTATCTCGATCTCCAGCAGCTTTGTGCTACTTCTAGCAAGTGTTGTTTCCGAGCGAGTTTAATGGTAATAGCTTTAGAACGTTTCAGCACTTTGGAGTGGTGTTTTGCAGCATTAGAAATCTCAGCGTTATAAAATTCCTTGAGTTAGTCATCAAAAATTGCAAAAGAAAGGAATCGAGTCGGGTTCTCCATGCGGAATAAAAGTCGTGGCAAAAAAGGTGACGGGAGGAATGCCAAAGACTATTTTTGTACAAGATCGACTTATAGAGCGCTGTTTTGACTGTCCCGTAACGTCTCTCGTTCTTATCAACACTTTTATTTAGTCACCGATTCGCAACTCTCGACAAGCCCCGCGTGCCAGATTTGTGCGCAAAATGAGGACGTCAACCCGAAGCTGGTTCGGTCGTGCAACTTCAAGGAATCAGTCGCCTTCATTCACAACCGACGTCTACTTCAATGGGTCACGACAACAACCAAAAAGGTGAAGCTATCATTTCATTAGAGGTTGTCCATTGTGTTTAAAGCTAACTAGTATTTAAACAGAAATATGACGCAGAGTTGGGAAGATCTTTCCTTTGGTCGTCAGGTCAGTCAGATCCTTGAACCTTTTGCGTATTTTATTCTTAGAAATGGTCTTTTCGATCTTCCAAATGTTGTCGACTCTGTTATTGGAAACAGCACAGTCTGGTATAAATTATGGGAACTGGTTCAATTTTCGCCCAACTATTTATCTTTAGGTGGCTAACGTTTTTTTTTTGCAATGGGCTTTAGTTTTAGAAGTTATCCACCTTTTAGAAAACACTTTTCACAAGGAACATATCGTAAATATGAATACCAGAAAATTGCCGATAAATTAGGAATTTCAGACTTTCAAATTGTCGAGCTATTTAATTTTTGTCAATAAACCATCCACTATGCTTTGTTTCATTTTCCATTTGGTTCTCTCATCCAAAAGATTATCTTGATTGAATTTTAAATACTTTTAACTTGTCATATTATCGTTTTAAGCAAAACAAACTGCTTTACGGATCGATGCCTCACTTGCAAAACAGCGCCTTCCTCTCATCGGATTCGTCGGATGCCGAGAACGAGGATTTCGAGCAAGTGAGTGGAATTTATTTACCTAAGCATTAAAATATTAGAGAAATCGAGGATTACTGTACTTTTTAATACTAGGGTAACACTATTTCAATTAGTGACACTTAAATCGTTGAAAAATTACTTGATCTTAATCAGAAATAATTCCTGGTTCGCTCAAGTTATATGTAAATGTTTTTATTTATATTCTGCGTAAAGTTTGAGTTTTTATTTAAATCTAGAGTTTCAAGCAATTCCCAATGGTCCCCCCGCAACGGGGCTTTCCTCCAACAGAAACTCCTCAAATGCCACCTCAAGTTCAACAGATGCCCAACGGAAATATGATGGGATTCATGCAAGATCCAAATTTTATGCAACAAATGGTAGCTACAAGTTTGATTGGTTGAAAACATTTTCTTCTAGATGCTCTTCATGCAACAAATGCAGCTGCAAGCGCAACATCCGATGCAACAAAATGGGGCATTCAATCCAAATCCAGCTTTCCCGGGCTATGGAATGCAACCAATGCAAGGTAAGAACTTTTCAACTTTGAGAGCTTTGATGTCAATGAATTTGAAGGGACGCTTAAACTTCTAAAAGGTGCATTTGGATAAGCTGTACCCCAAATTTAGTCACCAGGCATTTAGATACAGTCTTGCTGACTTAGTTTAAAATACATACATACGTAATTTGTTTCCTAAGCGTACCTTTTAGAAAATGCTTCAATTTTGATGAATCTAGACATTTAAGAACTCAATTTTCAGGCATTCAACAGCTACCCCAGCCTCCACCCGCTTACTCAGCATCACAAACTCCCGCTCCACAGAGATCCAAGCCAAAACCAGGAAATGGTAAATAAAGCATAACTGTTTTTCAATTAAAATGAATTCCAGGCAAGCCAAGAACTTCGAAGAAGCCGAAAAAGCCGCCAGTTTTGCCGGGCTTGCCCACTTCTCATTTATCAAAGAACAACCAATACTCTGGCCCTCGAAAAGAGATCAACTCAACTCAACAGTTCAGCGGTTCAACGGCTGAATATCCTGCTCCATCAAATCCGTCGACTAAAAGAAAGAAATCGAAACTGAAAGACGAGGTAAAGAATGAATACCGGAAATGCTGTATGAGAATGACACTCCCCGAAATCTTGACTTTAGACCCTTTTGTGGGAGTTATATGGATAGATCTAAACCTAAAACCTACTAAAATTTTATCGGCAGTAAAATTTAAAACCCTATTTTTGAAAAAAAAGATAAAAATAACCTATAACGGTCCTCCACATGGATTTTTTTTTGGAGATCCAAATGGGGTAATAAAATTATTTCACCTTTAAACGTGTTTTTTGTATGTTTTGGACAAAGGGTCATCGTTTAAAATAGTTTTTTTTGCTTCTGTTTTGTATTTTTGGTTCATGACCTATTTTTTGGATCGGTCAATTTTGAGGGGTTGAAAAGTAGAATAACATGTCATTCTAATACAGCATTTACGATAACAAGTATTTCTGTACCATTTATCTATAGAGAATAGATATTAAGTTGGCAACAAATAATCACTTTATAAAAATGAAAAAAGAAAATCGTTGTTGAGGTCCACTTTTATGAGGCTAGCTAGGTTCAAATGTAAAACGATCACATTACTCTATCAAAAAACAACTAATTCAGATATTTCAGACTGTTGAGACGGTGACGAAGTCGACCAAACCGGAAGTCCCATTGAATCCTTTCCGCAACTTCGACACCGCCGAGCCGCCAACTGTTCAAAAAGAGCGAAACATTGTGATCATCGGTGAGACGGGAGTCGGAAAATCAACTTGGATCAATGGTATAGCGAATTACATAAAATTCGATTCATTCGATGATTCTTTAAATGGAAAGAAACCGATTTGCGTGATTCCAATGGAGTTCAACGTGTACACAGGGGAGAAGCTTGAGAAATCAACCGTTTCGATGAAAGCGCAAACATTGGAAAGTGGGAAAAACGAGGCCAAGGCGAGTACGGGACAATCCTGCACACAGGCACCAAAAGTCTATCGATTTGTCACCGACACTGTGGCTTTCAATCTCATCGATACTCCGGGCATCGGTGACACACGAGGCTTGGAATGTGACATGGAAAATATGAGAATGATCATGAAATGTGTGTCGAAATGGGATAAAATTCATGGGATTTGCCTTCTACTGAAACCGAATGTGAGTCGACTCACGCTGTCACTTCGATACTGCATCGTTGAACTGCTAACAAATCTGCACCGAAACGCAATTCCAAACGTTTCCGTTGTTTTCACGAACTCTTGCAACACTCTCTACAAACCAGGAGACACGATGACAGTCCTGAGGAAGCTTTTTGAAGACGTGAAGAATGAGAACCAAAACGAGATCCCACTTACGAGTGCCAACACTTTTTGTCTGGATAACGAACCGGTGAGAATGCTCTACGCTCATCACAAAGGAGTTCAATTTGAGAAAGCCTGCGTCAACAACTTTTTGAAATCCTGGAATCACACTGTAAAGGAAACCTATAGATTATTTGATTCTGTCACCGATTTAGATCCACACTTGGCGAATGAGACGAAAGTGGTGAGCATTGTTCGTGCACTGACCCATGAGCTGTGCACAATTTTGGCTGATTTTGATGAAAGGATCAGACAAGAGCAAAAAGCTTTGGATCAACAAGTGAATCAGCATAAGATTCTGGAGCAGAAATTGGCTGATACGAAGAAAGAAGTTTTTCAAGGGACATACTTGGAAGAGACACCAATTTCTCAACCAAATACAGTGTGTTGTGGACCGAACTGTGTGGAAACGATTCGAGATCCGACGACGAGTGCTTTGAAAACTTTTCACAAACGGGTTTGCTTTCAAAGCTGTTCAGTGCAAAATGTGCCTGTAAATCAAATTGGAGCCACGAATTTGCGTCAATGCCCAATTTTTGACCAAGTAGGGAATTGCAGTGTTTGTGGATGCTCGTGGCAATCCCATATGCACATTTCGTACTCACAAACAAAGAGAGTTGGTGAGGTAAAAGCTGACAAAAAGAAAGAAGATGATCAAGTTACTCAGCAAATTTTAAGCAAATTCTTGTACATCACTCAAAGCCAACAAGAACTCAAAGTTCTCAGGGAAAGCTATCAAAAAGCTCAACAACTGGCCAAGCCGTTTTTTGCCTTTCTTCAGGAGAACCTAATCGTTTCAGTGAATTCTGCTTTCGAGGAATATGCCGAATTCTCGATTGAACAATTGGAGCAAACGCTGAAAACGGGAAGTGATCGATATGAGATTGATAAGCTGAAGAAGTTGCTTGCAATTCACCAACAGCAGAAATTCCTGGCAAGTGAGAAGCCGAGTGAACAGGAGAAGATCACTTTTGCGAACTATTCCCTGAGAATTTTAGAACTAGAGAATAAGCTAATTGTTGACATTGGCTTGACAAAGTCGTCCATTTACAAGAAATTATTCGACTTCCCGGAACTCGACATCGTCGAAGTGGCCGCAAAAACAAATCTCATTGTTCAGTACAAAAAGTGAAACATGTGTTCGTTTGAATAAATTTGTTATGTTTTTTTTTCCATTTAATAGCTGTTTGAAACAGCTGAATATCTGTTTTTCGATATTGTTCTTGATTCATGTAGATAGTTCTAATTTAGCTTCAACGATGGCAAGCGATCCAATGTTCGCCTCGGCAAGCGCCTTTTTGAATGCTTTGGATGAGGGGAGTGATTCTGGAACGAACGATGGACAGGTAAGTTGAAGATTAGTAAAGTTAAACAATGCATACTAGTGTGTTTTCTGAAAGATACCTATTCTAGAAAGCTACCGTAATCAGCTACCGTTTACATTCGATCAGCTCAATTTTGGTATCATTGACTGAGCCAAAATTGGGCTATTGAGTGAAACTGGTTGTTTGATCACTGTAGTTTTCTGAAACAAGTGCCTTTTAGAAAACTCAAATCCAAGTAGCAAATTACGATGCGATTACAAAATCGGTGCTTTGCTTTCTATATTGCGCTATAGAATGAGGTTTGTCCATCGGTGTTGTGACAACGGATTCTGGAATCACTGCAGGCTCTTTACACAGCGGATGTATATGTCGCAGCCGCTCGTGATTTTCAGCCGCTAGTGATTGAATCACGATCGGCTAGCCGCTAGGGATTGAATCACCATCGGCTAGCTGCTAGTGATTCAATCACCATCGGCTAGCTGCTAGTGATTCAATCACCATCGGCTAGCTGCCAGTGATTCAATCACGATCGGCTAGCCGATCGTGATTGAAAGTTTTTTTAATGAAACATTTGGAATACAATGCAGATTTATCTCACATGCAAATAAAAAAGTTAGGTTAACAGGACCAAATATTTTAACACCTCGGGAGGTAACTTCTGTTGCCAAATTCGAAAAATTATGTCATCTAAATGAAAGTAAATTTTGCTTAATATTTTGGCTTTATGAATTGCAAGTTTTATTCACTTTTCAACAATTTATTGCAAACATGTAATAAGCAAACAAGCTTAACAACAAAAAAATTAATTAACAACTTCCCTAAGGTGCAACACAACAAAATGCTAGAACAAAATCAAGTTTAACTAAAAAATAACTAAAAATTAAATGTTACTTGTTTGAGCAGGGATTGCTGTTGTGACATCGACTGTTGCACAAAACGTTCGACTTCTGGCATACACATCGACCATTTACGCTTCCAAATCCTCATCTGAAATACTGAAAAATTATTACTCAACTATTACTTAAAATAAAAATTATTACTCAATGGTGATTCAATCACTAGCGGCTGAAAATTACGAGCGGCTGCGACATATAGACTTTAAACTAGAAATGAAAATGGTAGTACTATATAAAGGTTCACAAAGAGTTTGCTATCTAAATCTACAAGAACTTTTCAGGCTGATGACGCCAGTGCAACGGAGTGGGTTTCTCATTGCAATGATCACGATGCAGATGTGAAGAAGAAAATTGTGCTTTTCAACCTCCCAGAACCGTTTGGCGATGATCAGATGAAAGAAGAAACCGATCGGAATGCTTTTCTAGAAGTTCTATATGCGATCAAAGCCGAAAGTTTGGCCGGAAATATTCGCGAGATCAAACGAGAAGGACGATTTGAACAAAATGGAAAACCTCGTCGTGTAATTGTGACATTCACCGATGAAAATGTGCAACGAATTGTTGTCGAATGTGCGCCCCAACTCTCAAAGATTCGTCAACTGAAACATCTAGCGCTTTATGCTTACAAATCAACGGTGGGTTGAGCTTATAATTAGGTTGAAAAACGTGCATCCTTGGCAATAAGAGTTTCGATAAATACAATTGCTGTAGTTTTACTTCCTTGCCTCTAGTTTTATCCAAGTTAGGCACTACTTTTGAGGTGATTCGGGAGGATTTCGATGATGTCAAGGCTTGCATGACTTGTAAAAGGTTTTACAGACCCATTTGAAACTTTTAGCAGACGAGAGCGGATCGGGATCACGGTGGCACTTCGCAGAAGGTTCCCGATCAAAAGTTCGAGCAAAGAGGTAAGCATGTTGTCGATTTTAATTTATTCTATGAAATGGAAATCCCCTCTCCGGAAATCTACTTTTTCTTGCTAATTCCCTCACTTCTTTATTACTGAAATGTAGATGTGTTTTGTGAACTATGAATACCTTCTGCATGACCAAAGAATTTAGGTCATAAACAACACGGAACACCTTCGAACGTGCAATCCAATGATGTGACTCCAAATCATCAACAACAAATCTTCAACAACTCTTTCGGATTTGCTCAGAATAGTGCTATGTCAGGTGAGGCTTAAAATCCGGCCTATGGTCTATAGTGAGGCCTATGGAACTTGGATTTCAGCTTAAGTAGAGTCTTGATATAAAACCTGTAGTACTTTTGAACAATTCAGGCAATGGTCAACAAAATGGAATGAACGGCCAACACCATGCAAATCAACAAGCACCATTTCCGCAAATGTTCAACAATGCTTTTGGTTTGGCGCCGCAAGGTGAGATTTGAAAATATTAAGGGATTGACAAAAGTTTGAAAGCAGCTCAAAAGGCTAATAGTGAGACGTTGACGCAAGAAGTTGAGGCTAAAAATCGGAAAAGTGTGAAGTTAACTGATAAATTGTTTTAAAAGGTGAGTTTTAAAATATTCCTGTTAGCAAAACCAGCTGCTATCCTGGATTCCAGCCAACCTCTCAATGGGTTAATCAGACAAAACCTACCTTTGAGCAATTAAGGCAATGGCCAACAAAATGGAATGAACGGCCAACACCATGCAAATCAACAAGCACCATTTCCACCGCAAATGTTCAACAATGCTTTTGGTTTTGCGCCGCCAGGTGAGATTTGAAAATATTAGGGGATTGACAAAAGTTTAAAAGCAGCTCAAAAGGCCGATTGTTGACTTGGAAATGCAAGAAGTTAAGGCTAAAAATTGGAAAAGTGTGAAGTTAACTGATAAATTTTCAGGAAATCCTCAACCAGTTTCACCAATGCCTTTCAACCCAACCGATCCGAATGGAATGAACGGGCAGCACCAAGCAAATCAACAAGTACCACTTCCACAGCAAATGTTCAACAATTCTTTTGGTTACGCACAGAATTTTTGCCCGCCAGGTGAGACTTAAATATCGAGCAAATTGGATTGAAATTAATTAAATTAATTCAAATTGAAGTTCGAAATTCAACGATAAATTTTCAGGAAATCAATCAGCTCCACCAATACCTTTCAACCCAACCGATCCGCAATTCCAAATGATGATGATGCAAATGTACGGAATGTTCCTCAACTCGCAACAAGCACAGCAAAACAATCCTTCCGTGCCGTCAAATGTGCCAACATCAGCAAATGAATTCTCTGAAGAAAGTGAAGAATCGGAGGAATCTGATGAAGAATCTCTGACTGAAGAAGAGCAAAACGATGAGCCAACAAATGAATTTTTCAAGGTTCAGTCTGAACAACACACTGGCACCAAGAAAGAGCTCAATATTCTTGTTCTTGGTGAAACGGGAGTCGGAAAATCGACTTGGATCAATGGAATCGCGAATTACATGAGCTTTGACACACTTGAGGATGCACTCAACGCTCGACAACCGATTTGCCTTATTGCCAGCAAGTTCTCTTTCTACGAGACAAATGAGACGAAGATTGACGTGAAACTTGAGCCATCGCACAGCGAGAAAGACGAGAACGAGACATTCTCCGATGAGGGTCAATCTTCGACACAAGAACCGAAAACGTACCAATTTGAGACGTCCAAGTACATTGTGAATATCATTGATACTCCTGGAATTGGAGATACTCGTGGAGTTGGGCAAGACAAAGAGAATACAAGAAAAATTCTTGGCGCTATTGGACAGTACAAGCATTTGCACGCAATTTGCTTTCTCTTCAAGGCCAATGAAGCAAGAATGACGTTGAGCTTCAGATATTGCATCAGTGAGATCTTACTCCAACTCCACAAAGACGCTGTTGACAATATTATCTTTTTTTTCACAAATGCTCGTGGCACTTTTTATAAACCCGGTGATACGATGACTCCACTAACCGCTTTTCTCACTGAATTGCACAAGGAAAGAGGACTTCGAATTGCACTCACAAGTGATAAAATCTGTTGCACGGACAACGAAGCTTTTCGACTTGTCTGTGCACATTTCAATGGAGCGAAATTCACCGAAGAAGACTTTCAAAATTTTGCGGGAAGCTGGAGACAATCAGCTGCTGAAACCCATCGTTTTATTGAGTTTACCGCTCGTCAACGGCCTCACCATGTTGCTGATACGGTTTCGATCAACAAGGCAAGAACGATCATCTTTCATTTAGCGAAACCATTAGCCGATGTGAATGAGTTGATTGAGTCGAATATCAAAGTATTTGATGAGAGAAAGAGAGAGCTCCAAAATACAGCTGCAACTTTAGACGATTTGAAGAAAAAGCTTCTGATTCCACAAATTGGAATAGAAGTCAAGCCGCTGGACTACCCGAAAACCGTTTGTGCTGCTCAAGAATGTATTGATACTATCCAATTGCCACACACTACTCAATACCAAACGATCTACAAACAGATTTGTCATGATCATTGCTATCTTGACAATGTTGACGTGGAAAAAGTACCTGAACCAAATCTTATCCACTGCGCGGCGATGTCAGGAGAGAATTGTGGAGTGTGTAGATGCCACTGGAGTACTCATATGCACATCCGTTTTGAGCAAATCAAGACTAGTGTCCAAGTCGAAGACGAAAACACGAAGACTCTCATTCAACAGAAACAAGACGCGAGTCAAGTGAAGGAGAAAATGATTCGGGATTGTGAGAATACAATTGATGAGTTAAAGAAAGAACAACAGAAAATCATCAAAACTTCTTTGCGATTTGGAAGCTTTTTGCAAACCAATGCCATCCTTCCCTACAATGACGCCTTCGAGAAATACGTTGAGCAAACAATTTCGGAAGAGGAGAAATGCACGGATATTGGTGGTGATCGATCGAAATTGGATAATTTGAAAAAGCTTTTGGATGAGTATCGACAAGAAAAAGCTATGCTGAACGAAGCGCGGAAAAATCCGATTGCAAATGGAGGGAATACGATTACCCCGGATGAGATTGAGGTGATGAAAGCGGAATTGTTCGGGCTGAAACACACGGGGAAAACTCTGAAGAACTTGTTTGCTGCGACGGAAGACGGGCTGGCAAAACATCAACAACATGTGACGGTTAAATACTCACCACCAAAGCACGTTCAACCGGCAAACTTTGGGAAGTACAAGAAGACGGTCGAGAAAGAGATGTGGGTTTAAAAGTTGCTTGGTTACTATGGATCTTGGAACTAAATTTGGATTTAAAAGCTTGCAGTATAATTAAGAATTCTTATATAAATGAGCCAAAGTTTCACAAGTTAATCTGCTTAAAATTTTGAGTACTGTTTGAGAGATTTAATCAATTTTAGTCTAAACTGATTGAAACTGATTAAACTGAAAATGAAACTGAAAATAAACTTTTCTGCTCGTCGCTGTTTTACGCGGCGCTGGTTTGGGCACAGCGTTGCTTTGGTCGGCGCTGTTTTGGGATTGACCCACTGAGCCTTGTGATTCCTCAACGAATGATACCAAAATCGAGCTAACGAAATGCAAACTGACAATTTAATTATGATATTTTTCTGCAAAAGGTGTCCTTAAGAAACGCATTGCTCGGAAAGAACATACTTCAATGTTTGTTACGATAAAGTAAACCTACAGTAAACCTTTACATTTCGTTTTTCAGCCCTGTGCCTTCGAGCGGTGGACGGAAGAAGCAACAGCAAAAAAACAACAAAAACAAGTACAAGAAGAACGAGAACAAGAAAAAGTAAAATAATTGGTTTGAGTTGTGTTTTGTGTTCATTGATTTTCAGTAACTTATTTCGTATTTTCACAGACTTTTGTTTCTTATGCATTCATTTCTTTTCAATAAATTTCTCTTGGTAAATCGTTTGACTGCTTTTAGAAACGGCTTGGTCCGTTTGCTATCGAAAACTTTTCATTCTCATGTTTAGTCTAGAAATTTAGTTTATCAAGGTTTTAGAGCATTTTTTTGGAATGGCCTCTAGACTTCCTTCCTCTAATGACGCACAAGGTGGGTAACTAAACCAAGCAAACGGTTTCAGAAATGTTTAACATTTCGCACACTGATGAATTCTGATAACAAGTTAGATTTCAATAACAATAGGTTGTTTTTTAGATGGTGCGACCTCTCAGTTTCCCCACACTTCACCGGTGCCGATGGAAACTGATGACATTGAGCTTGAAGCACCTACTTTGGCTCAGCAACAGGTGAATTTTAAGCGATTAGTGCAAAAATTCTTAGCCTAACCAGAATATCAACAGCTTATTATAAAAGATTAAGAGGATTTTTCAGAATTTCATTTCATAGAATTTTATTTCAGAATCATCCACAAAACTTCATGAATCCACGAGAAGCCACAATCGAACCAATTGCTGCTGATATTTACGAAGACAACGATCCAAGAAAACTTTTTGGAACTTCTCAATTGCCTCTTGAACGGGAATTCGAGGAACAAGTCTCAGCCGTCTCAGCTGCAAAGCCTGTATCTTCTTTTATCTCCTCAAACACTCCATTCCACGAGTGCGAAACAAATGTAAAACAACTTGTCAAGCGATTTGAAAATGCTGATGAATCTGAAAGGGAGAAGGGGAATGGATCTGTTGCAAAGCTGAAAGAAGATTCACCGATGACTTCAATTGATTTGAGCTTGCCTGCTCAGCGATGTTCATCGGTAACTGAAAACACATCGAATTGTCAGAAAGTTTCAGATCGTTTGAGCCGAACTACTTCCAAGAAAATACATGGTGATTTGGAAAAAGAAAAGGAAAATGAGGATGGATTTTCTTCCCTATTATTTCCTTCACCAGCCATTATTTCCGAAACTTGTTCAAATCAGCCTGGATTCACTCCTCCATCTCAAGAAATTTCTCTCGAAGCCGTCAAAACGCAAGTACTCAAAGTCAAAAAAGAGAAAATCGAGTGGCTACAGAAGGAAAATGTCAAAGTGCGAGAATTCGGCTCAACAACGAAAAAGTCGATCAATATTTTGGTCCTCGGACAGACAGGAGTCGGGAAATCAACATGGATAAACGCTCTTGTCAACTATTTAACTTACAAAACGCTAGATGAAGCGATTGCTGCCGAGGCGCCGATTTGCGCGATTCCAACTAAATTCACAATGTTTGACGACAATTATCAGAGACACGATGTCCATCTTGGAGCACACGATAATGAGGTTTTTGTGGACAATGGTCAATCAGCCACTCAAAGCGCCAAGACGTATCTGTGTGAGCAAGATGAACACAATATTTATATCATTGACACTCCGGGAATAAATGATACCAGAGGACACTTGAAAGACGAGGAAAACATTCAGAATATTCTTCGATCAATCGCACCTTTCAAAGAGATCCATGCGATTTGCTTTCTTTTCAAAGCGAATGAGGCTCGTCTCACGGAATCTTTCCGCTACTCGATCGGGAAATTGCTTGGAAATTTGAGTAAAACGGCGCTCAACAACGCTTGCTTTGTTTTCACAAATGCTAGAGGAACTTTTTATCGACCGGGTGATACAATGGGACCGTTGAAAGCTTATTTCAATGAGCTGAAGGAGAAGGAAGGACTTTCAGTGAGAATTGATGATAACAACATCTTCTGTTTGGACAATGAAGCTTTCCGATTCCTTTGTGCTCATTTCAGTGACATTCAATTCGATACAAGGGAAATAAAAACTTTTGCCGATAGCTGGAAACATTCGTCGAACGAAGTACAGAGATTGTTGGATCACGCTGCACGAGCTCGTCCGCACAACACCTCGGACACGCTGTCAATCAATGAGACTCGGACTTGGATCTATCAGCTAATCGATCCAATTCTCAAAGCTTGTACAATGATTCAGAGAAACTTGCAGCAACTGGATTGGCAGAAGGAAGAGCTGATGCAAGCTGAGAACAATGTTGAAGAATTGCGGAGATTGGCGATGATTCGAGTGACTTCAATGGAAATCTTACGGCTATCGAAGCCCCAAACCGTTTGTCGGAGTCAAAAATGTGCAAGATATGAAAGGATTGATGGAAAAGAAGCGTTGATCTACAGGGTTTGTCACAAAGATTGTTACTTAGACGAGAATGGAAAGCTAGACGGATGTGCAGTCTTTCTTGGATCGTCGTCGACTTTAGTGGGCGTCTGCACTGAATGCTCCTGTCACATATATGATCACGAGCGAATCCCGTACGAACAACGAATCACCACAAAATCTCTGGACAACCCACAAAAACTCGCCTCAGAAACGAATGCTGCCGAGATGAAGAAAAGCTCCATTCGAAAATTTGAGCGACTCATCAATGGATATCAAAAAGAATCCAATTACATTTTATTCGCAATGGCAACTTTTTCTGTTTTCCTTGCTGAGAATGGGATCACTCAGAAAACGAATCTCTTTGAACAACACTTACAGAAACTGATTGTCGCTGAAGAAAAGAAAATGAAAAGCGTGACTGGGGTGGATGCGGATGAATTCAATCGATTGCTCGAACTCAGTGTGACTTATGAAGATATTTGCAAACAATTTGTTCATCAACGAGACTCGGTAAAAATTTCACTTGATGAGCTTCAAGAAATTCGACAAAAGTTGTTCTCTTTGCCACTGAATGGCGCAATGATTGCACAGATTTTCGATATTCATGTGGAAACCAATCATCAGGATTATGAGGCAACTGTGACACGCTGCGAGAAATCGATGTTTCAGTGAGTTTAGCAAAAAATAGATAGAAAAATAGAGACATTGATACAATAAGTCCCAGTCTTTTGCTCATTGCATTATATGGAAATAATTTAAACATAGGCATTTGCCCAAATCCAGCTCTTGCAGCTGATTTTTGAAGTAACTAACTATCTAGCATTCAGATAACCCTAGAGTAACCCTAGAGTAATGAGTCGTTCAAAAGGTAGCTTTCCGAATTAGCCACCTTTTCGAAAACGCATCCCTCATTGAAACCTATCAACTAGCTTAAAAGGGTAGAGCTTAAATTCTTAATAGCCTAAAATAGCAGAGCTTAAGTTTTACTTATTTGGTAGAGCTTAACTAGAGCTCTACTAAATAAATAGAAGAAATAAATAAATAAAACTAAATAAAATAGCGCTTAAAGTAATTAAAAAAGATTCACAAAATAAACTCCAAGATCTAAACTAAAATTTATGAAGATAATTTTTAGCATGTATTCTTGAAACTTTTACAGTACTTCAGAAAATGGCAATAATTTATAAATTTAGAAAAATACGCGGTGGTGTGAAGAAATTGTTCTCGATTTTTGGTGGCTCCACGAAATAATCCAAGAAAATTATCGAAATTTTTCATTTTTTTTCAATAAACCATCTACTATGCTTTGTTTTATTTTCCATTTGGTTATCTCATACAAAAGATTATCTTGATTGAATTTTAAATACTGTTTACTTGTCAAATTATCGTTTTAAGCAAAACCACCTGCTCTACAGATCGATGCCTCACTTGCAAAACAGCGCTTTCCCCTCATCGGATTCGTCGGATGCCGAGAACGAGGATTTCGAGCAAGTGAGTCGAAATTTATTTACCTAAGCATTAAAACATTAGAGAAATTGAGGATTACTGTACTTTTTGATACTAGGGTAACACTATTTCAATTAGTGACTCTTAAATCTTTGAAAAATTCCTTGAACTTAATTAGAGAAATCGAGGATCAAAAATACTTCCTAGTTCCCCCAAATTATATCTAAATGTATCGTTTTACAATGGTTTACGGTAGATTTTTAATTTCTTTGAGGTTGCCTTACAGAGAATGGGTTGATTTATTCATAATCGTCATCTGCATATCAATTTTCAGATCGCAAATCCTCGTCCAGTGCCCGTGCTGACCGCTCTCTCGCCACCGATGCATCAACAAATGTCCAACTCTTCATCAGCAATTCCTCAACAATTTGACGCTACACCGCAAGGTATGCAAGGAATAAAAACAATAAATTTTGTACTGTGCTATGCATTGAAAGATTCTTTGCAAATCGATCCAATACGAGTTTTTAGCAAACGATTCTGACCGTCAAACGATCTCCTGCCAATGGTTTCCTGCCCGGAATCCAACTGCACCTACTCCAAATTTGCCGGTACTTACACAACTTTATTATTCTTCAAGGAAATTAGAAAATGCGTTGATTTTAAGTGATAATTTCAGCAATTTCAACCAGCTCCACATTCAAACAATGCCGGGCCTCCGAATTTTGCTGAGAATGGGATGCCATCGGTATGAAGAGAAGTGTTTTTAGTTTTAGGCAAGATCATTTTTATTTATATTCTGCGTAAAGTTTTTTATGTAAATCTATATTTTCAGCAATTCCCAATGGTCTCCCCGCAACCGGGCTTTCCTCCAACAGAAACTCCTCAAATGCCACCTCAAGTTCAACAGATGCTCAACGGAAATATGATGGGCTTTATGCAGGATCCAAATTTTATGCAACAAATGGTAGCTACAAGTTTGATTGGTTCGAAACATTTTCTTCTAGATGCTCTTCATGCAACAAATGCAGCTGCAAGCGCAACAACCGATGCAACAAAATGGGGCATTCAATCCAAATCCAGCTTTCCCGGGCTATGGAATGCAACCCATGCAAGGTAAGAACTTTGCAACTTTGAGAGTTTTGATATAACGAATTTGAAGGGACGCTTAAACTTCTAAAAGGTGCTTTTGGATAAGCTATACCCCCAAGTTTAGTCATCAGGCCTTTAGGTACAGTCTTGCTGACTTAGTTGAACATACATACATACTTAATTTGTTTTCTAAGCGTACCTTTCAGAAAATGCTTCAATTTTGATGAATCTAAACATTTAAGAACTCAACTTTAAGGCATCCAACAGCTAACCCAGCCTCCACCCGCTTACTCAGCATCACAAACTCCCGTTCCACAGAAATCCAAGCCACAATCACAAAATGGTAAATAAAACATAACTGTTTTTCAATTAAAATTACTTCCAGGCAAGTCAAGCTCTTCGAAGAATCCACCAGTTTTGCCGGACTTGCCCACTTCTCATCAATCGAAGAACAACCAATACTCTGGGCCTCGAAAAGAGATCAACATTCTTGTACTCGGTGAAACGGGAGTCGGAAAATCGACATGGATCAATGGCATTGCAAACTATATGAGCTTTGATCACATCGTTGATGCATTGGAAGCACCAGAGCCGATTTGTCTCATTCCATCAATGTTCACGATGTGCGACGAGAATTATCAACAACGAAAAATTGTCATTGGGAACTCAACGAATGAAGTGTTTGGACAAGGACAAAGTGCAACACAAGACGCTCGAACTTATCTCTTCCCACACCCGAAATATGATGTTTATATCATTGATACACCTGGCATTGGAGATGTTCGTGGAATTGCACAAGACAAGGAGAATACAAGGAAAATTCTGAATGCAATTGCAGCTTACAAGAATTTACATGCAATTTGTCTATTGTTCAAATCGAATGACGCTCGGATGACGTTGAGCTTTAGATATTGCATTGGAGAGTTGCTGCTTCAATTGCACAAAGACGCAGCCAAGAATATCGTGTTTTTCTTCACGAATGCCCGTGGGACTTTCTACAAACCAGGGGATACAATTGTCCCTTTAAGAGCTTTTCTCGATGAACTTCAAGCGAAACACGGGATACAAGTGGCTCTCGATCGGAGCAATATCTTTTGTCTGGATAATGAGGCGTTCAAATTTGTTTGCGCCTATCACGATGGAGTTGAGTTTAGCGAAGATGACATGAAAAATTTCGAAGCAAGTTGGGCAAAATCAGCCGCTGAGACGCATCGCTTCCTTGACTATGCGGCTGGATGCAAACCGCATTCTGTTGACAAGACTCTCTCAGTGAATCAAGCTCGTGGAATCATTCTCCAGCTGGCTAAACCCTTGGCTGACATTAATGAATTGATTGAGACAAATATCAAGGTGTATGATGATCGAAAAGTCGAGATTGAAAACACGAAAGCGACGATCAATGACTTGCAACAGAAGTTGTTGATCCCGCAAATCGGGATCAAGACTGAGGAACTCAGTTATCCGATGACCGTCTGCACTGGCCCGAAATGCATCGAAACGCAATCAATTCCGAACAGTGAACAATTGCAAACGATCTACAAACAGATTTGTCATGATCACTGTCAATTGGACAACGTTGATCCCGAGAGATTCCCCGAACCTCATCTACAACAATGTTGGGCAATGCAGGGTGGGCAAAGTTGTACAGTTTGTGGTTGTTTATGGTCTACTCACATGCACATTCGCTTCAAGCAAGTGAAAACGAACGAGTCGGTTGAAGATGTGAACATAAAAAATGCGATTCAGACGAATGAAGATGCTCAAATCACAAAGCAGAAAATTATCGAATCGTGTGAGAAAATCGTGAAAGAATACAAAGATGAACAGAAAACTGTGATGGATGCAAGTATTCGTTTCGCGGTTTTCTTGAAGCAGAATGCGATTATGACCTATAATGATGTTTTTGAGAAATATGTGGAAAAGTCGATTGAGGAAGAGGAAAAATGCATCAAAGCTGGAGGGGATCGGACGAAATTAGCCAACTTGAAGCGTTGCTTGGACGAGTATCGGCAGGGTTTGTTGCTTTTGGAGTTTAGTAAGAATCTAGAATTTTTAAGCAGGACTAAGGATAGGTCATTGTAGCTACATTTTGCACTTTGAAATTACAGTATTTTCAATTTCAAATGCTCTAGGAAACCTAGAAAGTTTAGAGGAGCTCATTCAAATGAGAAATAGCTGATAGTATCTAAAACCTAGTGGTATTTCTTTAACCAATCAACCACTTTGCAGAACGAGCCGCCATCGAGCACGCCTTGCAATCCGGCGGAAACCATCAGCAACAGATCACCACTGATGATGTCAAGAATATGAAAGCCATCCTCTTCGCATTGCCTCATTTTGGAGCAAAACTCAAAGAACTCTTTGAGCAAACTGTGCGCGGATATTCGATGAATCAACAACAAAGCGTGCAAAAGTTTGCCCGACCAACGTACACTGCAGCCTCTTCTTCTGGTGGTGGAAAGAAGTGGGTTAAGTTGAATATTTAGATAAAGACAAAGATATTGTTGTTACTTAGTGTCAATCTAATACTTTTTATCGGGTTACAGTACTAAGCTTTGGGTCTTACAATATACTTGGCAAGATTAAAAACACTTGAACATTTTTAGACGTGGTCTCATCGACAAGTTTCGCCGCATCTTCCCCAAATGAGAGAACAAAAAAGAGAAACTTTTGAAGAGAAACAGACCTGACAACAGAAATTCCCTTCCTTACTATCTAATTTTATTGTCTTGGATCTTCATGAAGCCTTTTTTTGCTTAAGTTTTTCCATCTTTGCTACCGAATTTTCGACCTTCTGTTTTAACTTTTGCATTTCAATCCTTATTTTGCATTTTAGTCATGAGTAATTGACTTTTGATACAATTTTTCAATAAATTTTTTATCACATCAATCAATCAAAACAAAATTCACTGAGATACTTTAGATTTGTTACAAACCAAGATACCCGAACATCTAAATTGACAAAGACAAAGGAAATGAGTAAATAGAACTACTACACAGCAGTAGATTCGGCACCGGTCAATGAGGTGGGTCCATTTTTGGCAGCGAGAGTAGAATCATCCCCCTTTGCCGGTTGAATGTGAAATAATCGTTGCATTGCGTAATTTTGATAGGGTTTCGTTGTTGACAAGATCACAAGTGGATACAGAATCCCAAAGGAACCGATGAGGATCGCTGAGAAGATTGAACACTGAAATTGAATCTGTAAAATGCAAAAAATTGAATAAGTTTCCGGGTTCCTCTTAAAGTTCAGACCAAGACCTGCTTAAAGAGTCCGGGTAAAATTTTCAGCCAGTCTGCCTCGCTCTTCGGTTTTTTACTACACAAAGCTTCTTCGAGCATGAAACCCAGTTCCCCCGGAAGCGCTTATTTTAGGCTTCATTTTGATACTAAACATGGCTAGACTCTGTTTTGCCATTCTTTAGATTTCAATCAATCTTTCGCGGGACTCGATAAGCTTAATGAGTCCAGCAAATTTTTGATCTAAAATGGTCGACATCTAAAGAATGGCAAAACAGAATCTAGCCATGTTTAGTATCAAAATGAAGCCTAGAATAAGGGTTTGCGGGGGAAGTGGGTTTCATGCTGGATGGAGCTTTGTGTAGTAAAAAATCGAAGAGCGATTTCATGAGCAAAAATTTTTTTCTAAAGATCGCTTTTGGGTCTTCCTTTTCATTTGCTTTTGATCACAAGATTGTTTTTCATTCTTTCGCTTCGAGAAATTTACTTCATTTGCTTCGAAACACATATTGCGTAAAAATCTCATTTAACGGCAATTATTGCGCTAACGCAATACTTGACAACCACGAAAAAAAATGAAATTGATCAGAAAACAAAGCTTTCATTTGACTTTACTTCATTTCATCGATAAATCTTTGGTTATTGAAATTCCCAACAGCAATACCAGCCATTTCAAGAGTGTTGCTTGGGAGTTATTGAATGAGGTAACATTCTAATGAATATTAAAAATGGATAACGTGTATCAAATTTTTATGAATTCTATCTGAAATCGAAATTTTTTCATAAAATAAGCAAAATGAAAGGGTTTCCTTTCACCTGAAATTGCCAAAGTGCAATTCTAATCGAATGTCGAGCCAACACAAAAATTGATTTCTTGAAAAGAAGAAAAATTCTCTCAAAATCTTGACTTGCTACTACTTTACAACAAAAGGCAAGCTTTTCTAGGCAAGCTTTTCTAGGCAAGCTTTTCTAGGCAAGCTTTTCTAGGCAAGCTTTTCTAGGCAAGCTTTTCTAGGCAAGCTTTTCTAGGCAAGCTTTCTGGGCAAGCTTTTCTAGGCAAGCTTTTCTAGGCAAGCTTTTCTAGGCAAGCTTTTCTAGGCAAGCTTTTCTAGGCAAGCTTTTCTAGGCAAGCTTTTCTAGGCAAGCTTTTCTAGGCAAGCTTTTCTAGGCAAGCTTTTCTAGGCAAACTTTAAAAAGTTTCACAAGCGAAACGCTGTGAATTCTTTTCTCTAAACAAAAATGTCTCGAAAACATCGTAAATTGAGTAGTAGACTTTTTGAGTAATCAATTTTAAGCTGAAAAGAAATTGTAGAAATTTATAGAAGTTCACGTAGTCATCCTTATCAAATTTCGGTCGGTTCTCATCCCCATCATCTTTCCCTTTATCATTCTTTTGCGAACCGTATTAGTAGGGCTTGGAATAAGCTCCCGTCTGGTATCTTCTCGTCTGTAGGAAAATTGAAAGTATCTGTGAACGAATTAGATCTTATTGCCATGTCAAATCTGCCCTATATTTAACCTTTTTGTATCTGTGTTTCCTAACTGTACTCTTACTGTACTATCTTTAGTTTTCTCTCTTTTTTCGGTGAGAGTATTGTAGCAATATGTTATATGCAGTTATGATTATCTGATTCGCTTCTATTCGCCCCATGAATAAAGCATATATATAAAAAGCTTATTTTTGCATAACTTCATTGAATTTTCTTGGATTATTGAGTTAAATTTTACATATTTCCATCGACTGGTCAATTTTGACTAGGTCTAACTCTAGTTAAACTCTGGCATAAGCTCATAACAATATTTTTTAATTCAACATTTCTTATTTCTAGCTTGATTTCGCCTCCACCAAGTGACATGGCTGACGAGCCATGTCACTTGGTGACATCCCCCCGTATTTTTCATCGACTAACCAATTAGGTCTAACAATTTTAAACTCTGGCATAAGCTTATTGCAATTTTTGATTCAACATGTTTCATTTCATTTCATTTTCAGCTTAATTTCGTCAATTCGAAATGACTGACGAGCTATCCGCTGAACAAATCGCTGAATTTCGAGAATTTTTCTCTCTTTTTGACAAAGATCAGAGTGGAACGATCACGGTCGGTGAATTGGGAACAGTGATGAGATCTTTGGGACAAAACCCCACTGAAGCTGAGCTACAATTGATGATAAATGATGGGGATTCGGATGGGAGTCGAACCATCGATTTCCCGGAATTCCTTCAAATGATGGCACAAAAGATGAAAGTGCCAGCCGGCGAGAACGATTTACGACAAGCGTTTCAGGTATGATACAAATGAAAAGCTTATCACTTACTTACTTACTAATGTAAGGTTTCTCAGCTAAAAAATATGAAGCTTTTAAGTTCCATAGCACCTAAAAGATCTAATTGATCCCGAAATGTACCTTCAAAAGGTTTCCTTGCTAGTTAACTTGTCTGAACTTGTTAGAACTCAACTAGTAATCTGAATGACCAAAATGGCATTAACACCTTAAGCTCTCATCATTAGATTTGTCAAATCTTTTAACCTCAAAAAATCGTAGTAAAAGTCAAGCTCTTCAATACAATTCGGTTAGCTAGGCGACCATGGAGCTAAAAAATTTTAATGAATTATTGGGTTGGTGAATTGAAAACTACCCGCTATTGTCATATGTGACAGTTTGAGCACTTTCTTCAAAGAAACCCATTTTGGTGTCAATGGAAAAGTTGTAGAGAATCAAAAATTAGGCTTATAGCCAAATTTCCAAAAAGATACGCTTAGTAGTTTCGCTTAAAATGCAAGTTTTGTGAAAATTCGTAAATTTGGCATTTCTTGAAAACCAGTTTTTGTATCGTTCTGAAAATTTGGATATAAGCTTGATTTTTGATTCTCTACAACTTTTCCATTGACACCTAAATGGGTTTCTTTTGAAGAAAGTGCTCAAACTGTCACATATGACAATAGCCGGCAGTTTTCAATTCACCAATCCAATATTTTTCTGTAAATCTTCAAGTATCTAAGTACTTTTTAAAGCAAAAGCACGAAAAAGTGGCAAAACGTGATCCTCTTGTTTCAGGTTTTCGATAAAGATCAGAATGGCTTCATCTCTGCTGAAGAATTACGTCACGTACTGACATCTTTGGGTGACGCTTTAACGGAAAAAGAAGTCGAAGAAATGATCGAAGAAGCTGACGTGAATGGAGATGGACATGTCAACTATGAAGAATTCGTCCAAATGATGGCTCAACGCTGATTTTGAGGCCAATTTGCAAGGCTTGAGTTTAAATTTTCGACATTCAATGAATAAATCTGCATCCAGTATAAGAGTCCTTTGCAGTGAACGCAGTCTAAACTTTAACAAAATCTTTATACACGAAACAGTGCCTTTAAATATTTTAGGTTTGCTGTTTTGCTTTAGAATTAAAAAAAGGAATTTTATTAACATTTTGAAAAATGTTTGGAGTATGCTTGGTCGTCTGAAAAATCGCGGAATTTGAGAATCTGAATTGTTCGTTTTTCTTTCATTTGAACGTTTTGCGTCTCAAATATTTCATTTTTCAAGTTCAAATCATTTATCAATCCCAAAATGATAAGAAAACGATGATATTGACAAGATTAGCACACTGAAAGATCGCAAGAAATAAGAAATGCTTTGAGAAGAGAAATCGTTGGATTCTCTCGGCTGTGGTCCTGTAAATGAAAATTTTTTTGAAATTAAGTTTTAGTTTAAACTGAATTCTTACAAAGTTTTCGGTTTTCCATGATTTGGACACTTCTCGGGCATACTCACGAGTGCCACACAGCCGATCGAAGTGATGAAAACGCAAATGAGCACAAAAATGCCTAAAAATTTGTACTCTAAAGAATCCATTACTGAAATTGAAAAGAAATTCAAGTTTTTGTGTTCGATTAGATTAAAAGCTGCGCTGATGAAATATCAACTTGTCAATGAAATTTGAATGTCTTACGCTTACACGTTTACATTCACCAAACAATGACTTAATATTCACTATTATTTAACTTCATTTAACTTCATTGTACAATCAGCTCGGTAGTTAGAATTAGCTTTAGCAAACTAGCTTTTCCCTTTTAGCTTTTGCCCAGTGAGTTATTGTTTCAAAAGCAGTTAAAGAGTCAGATGGAAAAGCCAAAAGAAGTAAAGAAATGATTCAAGTGAAAAGAGAATAAAAATTGGGATAGCTGCTTGGAAACAAAATGCCCGTTAAACTATTGGGTTGGTGAATTGAAAACTGTTGGCTATTGTCATATGTGACAGTTCGAGCACTTTCTTCAAAAGAAACCCATTTTGGTGTCAATGAAAAAGTTGTAGAGAATCAAAAATGAAGCTTATATCCAAGTTTTCAGAACGATTCAAAAAATGGTTTTCAAGAAATGCCAAATTTACGAATTTTCACAAAACTTGCATTTTAAGCGAAACTACTAAGTATATCTTTTTGGGAATTTGGCTATAAGCCTAATTTTTGATTCTCTACAACTTTTCTATTGACACCAAAATGGGTTTCTTTTGAAGAAAGTGCTCAAACTGGGACATCTCCAGTCCTCGATTTTTGAGTCTCACACTTGTCTCACACACAAACCAAAATCCTACTACGAAAGAGGAATCCGCAAATTGCCTGTGAAATGGGCAGAAGTCGTCAATAATAGTGGAAATTATTTGGAATGAATTGATGGTTTTATGTTCAATAAATTTTAGTTCAAAGTCCGGCAATTTTCAATTTACCACCCAATAGATAAAATTAACGGTACACAGTCATATCGGTCAGCCTTCACTCATCAGTTGTCTCTGTGAGAATCCACTGTGAATGAATGATCGTCCCGGCACAATAATAGCTCAAATCACTGAAGCTTATGCTTTGTTTTTGGAAAAATGTAAACGGAATGCCACTTACTCTAGCAGAGCTCAAACGTAAAGCACAAAAAAAAGGCAAATGTAGAGTTTGTACATTTCTTTACACTGAACAAAGGCTGAGCAGCTTTTATGGGGGAATCAAGTGAATGAGATGAAAATTGACAAAACTGATTGTCCCGCAGTTTTCAATTCACCAACCCAATAGTATCAAAATTTACAAGTTAAAAATAATAAACGAACAAACAAAATCTTCTAACTTACTTAACTTCATTTATCGTTGGATAAATCTCTTCAACACTTACCTAGTAATGGAAAATGATTCGTTTTTGGCATTTGCTGAGAAACCATATCAACGAATGTTGTCATTGACATCATGCTGGTAAGCGCAATGCTTAACTAAAATTTTGAACTTAAGATTTTTAAGATTTTCAAATAAGATTAAGATCCACTTTTGGTAGTTGTTCCTCTTTCACGTTAGCCGTCCAAAAACAGCCGATCACTGAAAGAAATGTTAGCAGAAAACACGGGATCACGATCACGTAGATGTAAAAACTTGGCTCTCTTTTGATTTCGACAGCAAATCCGATCTAAAATTAAAATATTAACAATTTACATTTGATTTTAGGTTACCGCGTTCATGTTTCCTTCAGAATTCGTTCCATTGATCATCATTTCTTGCAGTGAAACTTTCGTGATGACAACCTCGCCGTTTCCTTGCTGAATGAATCATTTTCTTCTTATTACGTCAAATAATAATAATTAATAATTATTAATAATGATTATTTTAAACCATTTATTAGGCTGAGTACTAAATCTTTGCCCTTTCATTTCATTATCTAAATGAATGAGTCTCAAACCACCAAATACTAAACGATTTCTTTTATTATAAATTAGACATGGGCAAATTCCTTGCCGAACCTAATTCCACCTTCGTTCTCTTGGTTGCTTGTTGATCGATTGATCTGAAATTTTGTCTACAAGCAATTAACGCCGCGTTCTACTTGTAGACAAGATTTTAAATCAATCGGTCAAAGAACGACCAAGAAAACGAAGATGGAATTAGGTTCGGGACGGAATCTGCCCATGTCTATCATAAATGCTTTACGTTTACTTTGTCAACTTTAAACAATTTTTAGAATAATCGACTTATTCTGAAATCTTGGCTGTAACTTTTTATACGCTATCTTTTTTTACTTTGTCATCAAAAGATTGGGTTGGTGAATTGAAAACTGCCCGCTATTGTCATATGTGACAGTTTGAGCACTTTCTTCAAAAGAAACCCATTTCGGTGTCAATGGAAAAGTTGCAGAGAATCAAAAATGAAGCTTATATCCAAATTTTCAGAACGATTCAAAAACTGGTTTTCAAGAAATGCCAAATTTACGAATTTTCACAAAACTTGCATTTTAAGCGAAACTACTAAGTGTCTTTTTTTGAAAATTTGGCTATAAGCCTAATTTTTGATTCTCTACAACTTTTCCATTGACATCAAAATGGGTTTCTTTTGAAGAAAGTGCTCAAACTGGGACATCTTCAGTCCTCCATTTATGAGTCTCACACTTGTCTGACACACAAACCAAAATCCTACTACGAAAGAGGAATCCGCAAATTGCCTGTAAAATGGGCAGAAGTCGTCAATAATAATGGAAATTATTTTGAATGAATTCATGGTTTTATGTTGAAATCATTTTAGTTCAAAGCCCCGCAGTTTTCAATTCACCAACCTAATAGATTTCATTGAAAGAATTGGTAATCCAAAATCGGATCAAACACTCAGCTTCTTTCTAATGAAGCTTCTAATGAAAAACCTTCAAAATAAAGCTTTTCAATAACTTTCAAGAGTCATTTGAAAGGAAAAGAACTAGGCTATCTTCTGAAAGAATTTGTTATTTGGTTGCTTGAGATATCTTTTTTTAATTTATTCAATTAGAAAATGAATTTAGGTGAAAGACTTAGTACTCAACCGAATAAGTTTGGCAAGGAACTCACTGCAACACCCATATGTTTGTCATATTTGGTGAAGAGCTCCGCTTTTGGATCGATTCGATACCATCCATAAGCGGGTGCTGCAAACTGGATAGGGCACACCTGGGTATCGAACGGAAATCTGCCTACCTAAAAACATTGGATAATAAATTTATCCATGAATCTATCATTTCCTCAAAAATTGATTAATGTTTGGCCTAAACAACTCAACAAACTCTTGTTCACAGACAAAACTTTTGATTTTTTGATGACACTTCTGACAGTTTTTTTGTATCTGATCTTGTTACAGTATCCCTGAATGATAGTGTTTTAATATTTAGGTAACTAGATCAAAATTTACATATTATCATTGATTGATTGATGATTGCTTGATTGCATTTTAGTCTGGTGTAATGTAGTGAAATGTACAATACAGGGTGTGGCATCTATAGTGTTCCGCTTAATGCATTTTTTTTGGCTTTCTAAGACAATACATTAACTTAAGCCAAAAAACAACAATTAATTATAAAATCTACGCGTAATTTTACATAGAATAGAAGAACCGTAACATTTCTTTAATGACTTTGACAACCCTAGCCGAGCAGTACAAAAAATGTTATGCGGTACGATGGTGAAAAACCGTTAAATTCGAGCTTAGGGCTTCGAAAAAATCGCCTCTTTCCATCTTTTTCTGCATTAATACGTTTTTAAAGTTAATTACTATAAAATTAAGTGTTTTTTTGAGCTTCATTATTGCAAATGTGAGCTTATCTTGGCTAACAAAATGAGCACATTTTTTACTAATCTTATCTTTTCTAAAGCAGCAATGACGTTTAAAGTCTTATATGAAACAAATAAAGTTTTAAATTTTGCACAATCTAGTGAAAAAATGTCTAAACGAAAAAACTCTCAACTCTTTTGGTTTTTGAGAAAACCATCCTTTTGTAGAGCGCAACACTCTGTACATAAACCGTCTGTTTTGCCGCTGTTTTTTTAACTTATTATTAGATCGGCTTCCAATCCCCAGTCCCAAAACTAAGTGGCTAATTTAGAACAAGCCAATTTCGTTGATTTTACAATAACTTCAAGCTCCCATACGTTGATTTGACACGTAAGATCGGCATTGTACGCTTCATCGAGAACAACCGTTCCATTTGAATAAAACCAACACTGTTTGAAGCGATCCGGGGCCACTTCATCGATCGTCAATCTATCAAAGTTTTTAATTGAACTCAACAATCAGTCAGTAAACTCACGTATTTGCCACGAAATCATCGGGAACCCAAAGTGTATCGCATTGTACCCACAGAATCGACAATCCGTCGAAATCATTCGGATCCCAAGCAAGGCGAATGTCTTGCCAAACGATCTCTAATTCCATGAAAGCTCGCATCATTTGACGGGCTGCATCCTAACAAAATGGGATTCTAGAGTCTACTAGAAAAATTACTAGAGCCTACTAGAAAGAAAATAGCTTGAAAAGTTGAAAAGTGTTAACACACACTTCATTAGAGTGTGTTCCTCACGAGTAATCTGTTTTTTGAAAAAATTGGCACGAAAAAATCACAAGCGCCGACTTTAATACGATTCCTTTTAAAGATATTCAGCCGTTTAACTTATTTTGTGGCAAAACCCCTTCAAATTCAATGATATTAAATTTATTCGACGTGTAAAGAGGATTACTCGTTGGGTAAATCACGCGGGGTCTCGCAAAACTTTTAGTATCTGACTTTTAGAGCTCCTTATTTGAGAGTATCAAGTGAGAGGCACACATTCTAACCCGGATTCTAACTCAATTTCTAATTCTAATTCAATTGCTTTCGTATTTCTAATTCTTCAATATCAAGAACATAAAAAATTATAAAACCCAAAATTTTAAAGCAAATTGTAAGCGAAATCTGGCGTGTGATCTACAGGGTGTGTCATAATTACGGCCCAAAAGCGCCTTCACCGATCAGCTTCATCATTACTACATGAAAAGAATTTTCAATTTGTGTTTTTTCTTTATAAATTTAAAGCTAAAAAATATAATTTGAGTCAATGGAAACGACAAAAACATAGCCAGCCCTTTATTCTTATCTCATAAATGAAAAAAGTCCTGCAGGAAAAGACGTGACAGGGTGCGTCATAATTACGGCCAGTGGAGGTTCCTTCATTAAAAGTAGCTTTCATGCGTTTTCTTTGTTTTCATTCAATTTTTTTATCGTTTTTTCTAACAGATATGATATTAAATAATAACTTTTCACATTTAGATTTTCAATTGCCCAAAATGGTGAAGCGTTCCATTCATCGTCAATCAATCATCGACCTTCATCAACGTGGCGTCTCGGCCCAATCGATTCAGAATCGTTTGGGTGCAAAGAAATCTCTTGCTTTTCGAACTACTGTACGATTTAAGCAACTGGGAAGCGATAGAGATCGATTGGGAAGAGGTCGAAAGGACTTTGGATCGAGGCAATGGACTTTCCAACAGGACGGAGCACCGGCTCACGAAGCTCGATTTGTTCAGGGTTGGTGCCACCAAAACTTTCCGAACTTCATCGTTTTCAATAAGTGGCCTCCCAGCTCGCCTGACCCCTTAATCCCATGAATTATTCGGTGTGGTCGGTTCTTGAGTCAAAAACCGGTCAAAAATCACACAAAAGCGTCGATTCATTGAAGAAAGCGTTGATCAAAGCCTGGTGTAAGAAATATATTTATATTCTTTATCTTTATAATTTCTTGTGAGACCGTGTCTCGGTGTGGTTCACTGGTCTTGAAAACCCACAATTTTCCAAAACTTTCCCTTATTAGGGCAAACTTTGCTTAAACTGGAGCAACCTGGCACTATCACAATTACTTCAACACTTGCGTGTGAAAAAAGGGATGAATAGAAAAGGGGAGCACACAACTGACTCAAAACAAAGCTTAACTAATGGATTTTTAAGTACACAAGCTACGACAAACGGACAACTGAATATCGTCTAGTGGCTGATTACGGTAGTTTATCCATAAACTTTGAATTTGGGATGATCTCAATGTGTTCTACTTGCATGCCACCATGGGCTCATTCACCACGCATCTTGATGCATGCCACAAAGCAAATGGAGATATTTTTTGAAGTTTAGTTGTTATTTTGATTGATATGCATCTGATAAACGTTGTTATAAAGAAAATTTGAGATTTGGAGTATCTGGAAAGAATTTCTACTGGCCGTAATTATGACGCACTCTGTATAACCCTAATCCTAGCCATGTCGAAACATATCCAAGTCATGAAAGTTATGCCAGCCACTATATTTGAACTCTTTTTTTTTACATTTCTTACCAGATCAACAATGTACAACATTTGCAATTTCACCGTCATCCCAAGTCGTTGTTTCACTAGAAACAAACATTTTCAAAAAAACAAAAAATCATCAAAAAGAACCTGTCGAATTGATATTCAAATTTCCATTTATTGGTGCTAAATCCTTGAAATAAGTTCGATTTTGAAATAGCTCAATGTATAAACGATTTGCCGCATTCAATGTAACTGAATAGTCTTCTGAAAATTTCAGTCACCTATTATAAATCAATCAATTTCAACCTTCAGCACCAAATTTTGCATAATCCATTGAATCTCTAGCTTCAATTGATTGCATAGTTAAACTCATAAGTATTAGAAATAATGTTTTATTAAACATTTGGTTTCTAGAGTTCAAAAAGCTCCAAAAATTCATTGAAAACGAGAATCAAGTGTGGGGTTGGGTAAATAAAAAAAATTGGAAATAAATTGGAAATTCGAGAGGAGTCTGAAGAGGCGAACGAGAAAAACGCCAAAGAACGGCGAATATTGGTCAATGAAGTAAAAGGGAAATTTTTGTGATTTAAACTCAAGTCCGCGTTTGGTAGGCCAAAGTTGACATCTTTCAGCTATAACATTACAACAAATCTTTTGATTGTTACCGTTTCTCCAAGGCATCTATAATATTTTAGGTTACCGTAATCAAATCATCAGCCTTTCATTAAATTAGCTCAATTTTCGACTGAATTTCAATTGATCATTGACTGAATCTTGTGCTTTCTTACCGAATGATACTATTGGGTTGGTGAATTGAAAACTGCGGGACTTTGAACTAAAATTTATTCATAGTTCATAGTTTCTTTTTGATTCTGATGTCAGCGCCGTTTGAATTCAGCATGGACAACGTGAATTGATCGGCATCAAGGATATGAATGTCGGCTACGATCATGGATGGGATCGAGTGTTGCTCTTGTGGTTTGCATTGACAAAATTGATCTATAGCTTTATCTATTGGGTTGGTGAATTGAAAACTGCGGGACTTTGAACTAAAATTTATTCAACATAAAACCATGAATTCATTCGAAATAATTTCCATTATTATTGATGACTTCTGCCCATTTTACAGGCAATTTGCGGATTCCTCTTTCGTAGTAGGATTTTGGTTTGTGTGTGAGACAAGTGTGAGACTCAAAAATCGAGGACTGGAGATGTCCCAGTTTGAGCACTTTCTTCAAAAAAAACCCATTTTGGTGTCAATGGAAAAGTTGTAGAGAATCAAAAATGAAGTTTATATCCAAATTTTCAGAACGATTCAAAAACTGGTTTTCAAGAAATGCCAAATTTACGAATTTTCACAAAACTTGCATTTTAAGCGAAACTACTAAGTGTATCTTTTTGGAAATTTGGTTATAAGCCTAATTTTTGATTCTCTTGCACAAATGCTATTTCTTTTTAAATTCTTCTACAATTTTATCGTGAGCATTTGAGAATGTTTATGTTCGTTCGTCGGCCTCCTTTCTGCAGATCAGATACCCAAACGTGTTGCATCGAAAATCATTCCATTTCGGCGAGTGATCGAACTGAAAAGGAAAGTAGTGAAATTTTACAACAAACAAAAACATGAACGCAAAATTCGTCGCCGGTTTGATTATCCGGCTGAGCGGGTCCCCAGTTCGCGTATTTGTACACTTGACCCCCATCCGACCACTGCCATTGGTAGCAAACAACAAAAGTAAAAAAGGACTCACAATGCTCGTTTCTCTAAATTCACGAAAATTCCTAGTTTCTTTAAAAATTTACAAAATTTTACCATTTTCAACCCAATCCACGCATTCGGGACACCGGATTGATTTGCGAACTCTGGAAATATGTCCGATTTGGGCGAAAATCTCGGTTCTCGTTAAGAGATTTCGTGGTAGCTTGTATAAATAAAAGCAATTATTGTAAAAATCTCAAAGAACTCATTTCTGAGTTAGAAAATCAAGGGAAAACAAACTGAAATATCCTTCATTTTCCTTGTCATTGATGATTGTCAGCGATTTCCCGCCGCTCGCCACGCAATCGGCTTTTGCGACATCATACGTTGTCCCGTCAACTAGCTAAAAAAGGGTTTCGTTTCGTTTTCATTGTAAAGCAGGTGAATATGGAGTTGTTAGCTCAAAATTGAATCTGGAATTGTTAGCTCAAGGTTGAATCTGGAATTGTTAGCTCAAAATTGAATCTGGAATTGCTAGCTCAAGGTTGAATATGGAATTGTTAGCTCAAAGTTGAATCTGGAATTGCTAGCTTAAAAATGAAATAACCAAAACAACCGAACATCTCGACTGAATAACTTGTGATTTGAGGTGAAAACTTTAAGTTATTCAGTCGAGCTTGTAATCGACTATCTTACGATATAGCCTCTGTAAACACTGTTCGTTAAACTGTCAAACCTTGAGACAACAATCACAGAACTCGTTGTACTTCCAAAACGCGCCCGAACACGTGCCGTTCACTGCGCTTTCTGCACACAAACATTGAGCTAAACGTTGTTGTTTTCTATGTTTTTACAAAACGCATAAAAAGTTAGACAAACCTGCAAACAGTACAAAGAAAAATGCAAAAGTTTTATTGATAAGCATTTGTTGAAATTTGTTGAAAATCTCGTGAATCTAGAAATACGGCTTTTTAACGGTTTCTTCGTTGCTTTATTTATTTTACAGTCTTCTTTTTTTGCTCAATTTCTAAACAATTTCTAAACAATCAGTGTGTCAAATATCAAATGTTCAAAAGTCAAGGCATTTTTTAGTTGTTTAGTCTTAAAATTTAACTAAACACAACAAAAAATGAATCCAAGAATGTCTTTGTCTATAATGTCATATCTTAACTCTAATTTGAGAAAATGTGACTAGTTTATCGATTCAAGCTAATGCCAAACAGTAGACAGCACAATGTTCTGGGCTGAAACGCGACGATTCTTCCCTACAAGAATGGATGTTGATCTTTTTCGTATAAAAAAAAAGAGAATTGACTGCGTTTCGATGCATTTCGGGCCAGTGCAGACGGTCATCGGATAGCTGAGCTCCTCGGTTTTGATCCCAATTTGCAGAATCACCAACTTCTGTTGCAAGTCATTGATCGTCGCTTTCGTGTTTTCAATCTCGACTTTTCGATCATCATACACTTTGATATTTGTCTCAATCAATTCATTGATGTCAGCCAAGGGTTTAGCCAGTTGGAGAATGATTCCACGAGCTTGATTCACTGAGAGAGTCTTGTCAACAGAATGCGGTTTGCATCCAGCCGCATAGTCAAGGAAGCGATGCGTCTCATCGGCCGATTTTGCCCAACTTGCTTCGAAATTTTTCATGTCATCTTCGCTAAACTCAACTCCATCGTGATAGGCACAAACGAATTTGAACGCCTCATTGTCCAGACAAAAGATATTGTCACACCATGTCAACGTCATCCGAGCGTCATTCGATTTGAACAATAGACAAATTGCATGTAAATTCTTGTAATCTGCAATAGCATTCAGAATTTTCCTTGTATTCTCCTTGTCTTGTTCAATTGCACGAACATCTCCAATGCCAGGGGTATCGATGATATAAACATCATATTTCGGGTGTGGGAAGAGATAGGTCCTAGCATCTTGTGTAGCACTTTGTCCTTGTCCAAACACTTCATTCGTTGAGTTCCCAATGACAATTTTTCATTGTTGATAATTCTCGTCGCACATCGTGAACATTGATGGAATGACACAGATCGGCTCTGGTGCTTCCAATGCATCAACGATGTGATCAAAGCTCATATAGTTTGCAATGCCATTGATCCACGTCGATTTTCCGACTCCCGTTTCACCGAGTACAAGAATGTTGATCTCTTTTCGAGGGCCAGAGTATTGGTTGTTCTTCGATTGATGAGAAGTGGGCAAGTCCAGCAAAACTGGTGGATTCTTCGAAGAGCTTGGCTTGCCTGGAAATCATTTTAATTAAAAAACAGCTATGTTTTATTTACCATTTTGTGCTTGTGGCTTGGATTTCTGTGGAACGGGAGTTTGTGATGCCGAGTAAGAGAGTGGAGGCTGGGGAAACTGTTCCATGCCTAAAAATTGAGTTGTTAAATGCTTACTAGATTTATCAAAATTAAAGCATTTTCTAAAAGGCGCGCTTAGAAAATAAATTACGTACGTATGTATTTTAAAATTAAGCCAAAGAGACTGAGCGAGCATCCCCTTCACTTACTGGTAGCTAATTTTGGGTGTACCGTAGCTTATGCAAGTGCACCTTTCAGAAGTTCAAGAGCAAAGTTTTCAAATTCATTTGATCAAAATTCTCAAAGTTGTAAAGCTTTTACCTTGTACTGGTTGCATCCCATAGCCCTGAAAAATTGGATTTGGATTATATCCTCCATTGGATTATATCCTCCATTGGATTATATCCTCCATTGGATTATATCCTCCATTGGATTATATCCTCCATTGGATTATATCCTCGATTGGATTATATCCTGCACTTACCATTTGTTGCATAAAATTTGGATCCTGCATAAAGCCCATCATATTTCCGTTGGGCATCTGTTGAGCTTGAGGTGGCTGGAGGAAAGTTTCTGCTGGAGGAAAGCCTGGTTGTGGGGAGACCATTGGGAATTGCTTGAAATTCTGAATTTAAATAAAAACTTAAACTTTACGCAGAATATAAATAAAAATGATCTTGCTTCGAATCAAAAACCACTTACCAAAAAACCTTCTCTTCATACCGATGGCATCCCATTGTTAGTAAAATTTACAATTTACAATACAATAAAATTTACACCTACGTACAATGCGGCCTCTTCTGGTGGTGGAAAGGGGTGGGCTAAGTTAAAGATAAAGACAAAGATATTGTTGTTAGTGTTAGTCTAATATTTTTCCCAGATTGCGTATCGGAACCAAAGATTTTGATCATTGACTTGGCAAGACCTAAACTATTTGAGCATTTTCAGACGTGGTCTCATCGACAAGCTTCGCCGCATCTTCCCCAAATGAGAGAACAAAGAAGGGAGATTTTTGAAGAGAAACAGATCCACAACAGAAGTTTCAATTCACCTCCGTTACTATTTAATTTTAATATCTTTGATCTTCATGAATTTTTTTTTGCTTACGTCTAAAGTTTTTCCATTTCTCCTACCAAATTTTCCACTTTCTTTTGCATTTCGATTTCTTTGCATTTCTTTTTCTTTGCAAATTTTAGTAACTGTTTGGGTAACTGACTTTTGATACAATTTTTCAATAAATTTTTTATCACATCAATCAATCAAAACAAAATTCACTGAGATACTTGAGATTTGTTACAAACCAAGATACCCGAACATATAAATTAACAAAGACAAAGAAGATGAGTAAATAGAACTACTACACAGCAGTAGATTCGGCACCGGTTAATGAGGTGGGTCCATTTTTGGCAGCGAGAGTAGAATCATCCCCCTTTGCCGGTTGAATGTGAAATAATCGTTGCATTGCGTAATTTTGATAGGGTTTCGTTGTTGACAAGATCACAAGTGGATACAGAATCCCAAAGGAACCGATGAGAATCGCTGAGAGAAGGTTGAACACTGAAATTGGATCTGTAGGATGCAAAAAATTGAATAAGTTTCCGGGTTCCTCTTAAAGCTTAAACCATTTAAACCCGAGTTGGTAGACTCAATGAAATGAATAGCTTCAATCGATTCGCCGACCCTGAAAGCCCCCGGGTACAAATTTCCAGCCAAATATTTTCTTTTTGTATCATCGATAAAGCAAAAGAAAGAATTTCTATGTAAAAGCGGCTAGAGGTGTTCTTTGTGTGCGCGCACAATCGCTTGTCGTCTGGCAAACCCCATTTATCTATAAGTGTTCTGTTTTGGAACCGTATTGGAACCGTATTGGATCAAAAAAGGAACCGTATTGGAACCGTATTAGATCAAAATGGGAACCGTATTGGAACCGTATTGGATCAAAATAGGAACCGTATTGGAACCGGATTGGATCAAAATAGGAACCGTATTGGAACCGTATCGTCTCCAAAACCTTTTTTGACAAAGGAGCGAAGGAGAGCTAAGCGTCTGAGCCGTTTTTTTTGTTTGCTGGCGTCACTATGCTCAAATTTTTGGGATAAATCTTTTTGCCTTAAATTTGTCAGTATTTTTGTTAGAAATTCTACATCCCGTTGAAGTTATGGACCCTTAAATTGTGATTTCTCATTCAATAATACTAAAAATGATACCATTTCCGTAAGCGAACCTGTAAGAATCGATGATATGTTTGCAATATAGCCGATGATCAAAACAACAACTGTTAACACTGCCGGTGCCAATGAGAGGCCAGTCTGGAAATTAAGCATTAGTTTGTTATAAACAGCTTTTTTCCATTTTCAAAGAATTAAAACCTAGAAAACAAGTTTGTTCATTTCCCCCACCTGAACAAGCAACATTAAGAAGGCGACTTTTTGTGCGGCCAGAGTTTTCCTTGATAGATGACAAGCCAGATTTTTACTTAAATAAAGCAAAATATATGTGTAAATGTTGAAGAATAAAAGGAGAAAGCCATAAATGAATAAAGTGATGAATAAAAGAATGATATCGAGGACATCGATCACGTTGAAGATGTACGGTTTGACGATGATTTTCGTCGTTGCGAACAGAAATGAGGTATGATTCTGAGAAAATTAGATTACAATTTGTTAACAATGGTTTCTTGCTCAAAGTGGAAGTGATTTTAATTGAAGAAATTTACAATGGTATAGATTTTTAACGGTAGAACTCAATTGCTGAACCAGTTTTTTGACGACTTATTAGAATCTCTGATGATTGGGTAAAAGAACGGCTTTTGGACTGTATTTTGTTCAAAATGTGTGCATTATTGTGTCGATTTTTGTTTATGTGTTAAAAAGAATCCCAATCTTGCGCTCTAATCAAGCTAACCTGGATAAGAAAGGCAACAACTCACCATCATCGCCAAAAAGTTGGCCGGTTGACAGCATCGATCAACGATAATGACGAGAATGACAAACGGAATGAGAAGCAGTGGATGAATGAAATATTTCTGCAACCGGAAATACGTTTCTTTCGTTTTCCCGTAGATGACTTTCTCGAAACGATATTTGAAACAGAGAATGATCGCTCGGGCACAGTTCACACCGCTCAAATAAAAAAATACCTAAAATTTAGCTTTTTTCCAAAGCCACTCTTTTCCTTACCATAATCGTTTTCATCGAAATCGTTCCGTTGAATAAAGAGACCAACGAAATTGAGGCGAAATATAGGAATTTCTCATTACCCCTCTGGAAAGTGAATCCCATAAAGAGTAAAAGATATGTGAGCCCGAATAAACCGCTTGAGATCTAGAAAAGCAAATATTTTGAAGTGTTTTGGAGGTTTTGCAGCTTGGAGGCCAGAAAATTGCAATTGGAACTGATCAAAGCCCGATTTTGATCAAAAATAGAGAACTTTTCGGTGTTTTGTAAGAAAACCAGGTTAAAGTAGGCATTGGGTAACTAAGCCAAGGCAGAATTTCGACTAAATATAGTGTCGATGACAAAGCGAGACTCGACTAAAGATATGTTTCAAATTTAGGTTTTATGAGCTTCTACAAACTGGGCTTGTTTTCAGGTACGAAACCGGATTTAAAATTTAATCTTTTGATTAGTAAAGGCAAGTTGTTTGTGCTTTTATATAAAAATAGGGTTGAATAGTGTTAAGTGATTAAATCGAGAACTGAATTTAAAGCAAAATATGATTTAAATCATTTCACGAAGTGTTAGACGAGCTTTTTATCGAATCTTTACGGTTAACGGCGGGGGGTAGCGATTAGCGGCAAGGGCCAATTTTTTGGCCGGCTTACAGCTCATTTTTAAGCAGCTTAAACTTGTCGGATCAGAAAGTTTTAATAAGATTTAGATAGCTTAGAACGTCTGCTATTTATTTAAACTATTTATTTTATCAAAAGTTGTTAACAGAAACCTATCTAAAATCGGGCTGCAAGTTGGTCAAAAACTTGGCTCCCGCCGTTAACCGTAAAGGTCCTTTTTATCAAAACAAGCCCACAAAGTTGTCAAGCTTTCAATTCAAAACTATGATTGGCCAAGAATTTGCAAAACTCACAAGGCTATCGACGATGTGAATCCGATAGGCAATCATTTTCTTCGGTGTTGCTCTATAAGCAACAAATATCATGGCATTTGTCGAAAGAAGAGTCAGAAATATGGCAACAATTGATATTTCTGGTTGATATGGAAGTGGGTCCGATTCGATCCAATGCAAATCCATTAGATGAGCGTTGAATAATCAACATTCCCAAACGAGCATCTGTTTTAACTGAAATGAAACTTTTTCAGCTTTCTCAAATTTGGAAAACAACATTTAAGCGGCAAGGAAAAGGGCAAAAAGACTTGTGAGTTCAAAAAAGTCGAGTCTAAAGAGAATTCCCGAAATCCTAAATCAAATCAAGGTTATGTTTCACTTCAAGGACATCAATAGGAATGTCAAAAATTGAATTGGATTTATCTATTTGTTTTGAAACATAAAAATGGTATGATGACTTTTAAAAGCTTTTAACATCCTAAGCTTTTGGCCTGACTTTTCAAATTTTTTAGACCAGCCAGAGCTAGGCCAACTCATGACCCTGACCTGGCATTGGCTCGAACTGGCCTGGCCAGTCATAATTTTTAGCTTTTTACAGAATTTTAAAAAGTTTTCAAACTCTTGAATTACTAGAAAGTTTCAAAAACCATGTTGCAATATGCGTGGGCCATAAAGTTTTGAAATGTGAAATCTCCGTTGAGCTGATGAGCAAGAAATTTTCGATAAATGGAGAAAACCCGTAGGCAGAAAAGTGCTCAAAGCATCAAGAATCTTAGAGAAAACTAATAAAATGGGAATTTCAAATTCGTGTTTGCGAATGGGTTGGTTTTAAAAGGATTAGGTAAGTGGGATTGGGATGGGAAATGAAAAGGAGACAAAGATCCACGTTGTTACGAAATTTGAAATGGTTTTAAGGCCGTTATTCAAAATTCAACTTCTAGTCAAATTGTTTTTAACGTATTTAAAAAAATTTCCAATCAACTTGATAATTAGAGTGTTTTCTTCGCGAGTAATGCGTTTTTTAAAACGCCCAATTTGGAAAAAATTACCGTACTTTTAGCAAAAATTATTGCAAAAAAATGACGAGCCCCGCTTTATATACGACACTTTTTAAAGATACTCAGCCGTTTAACTGATTTGGTGGGAAATTCCGTTTCAATGTAAAAAATGATTTTTTGTTGAAAAAACCTGCGCAAAACTTGCTTTTAGATTTTTTTCGCGCAGGCGCACTTTTTGGAAAACGCATTACTCGACAATTACTCGAGCTATTACTCGAGTAATTGCTTACTTCGCGAGGAACACACTCTATTGATAATTCTTTCATGAAATCCACCAATTTGTTCAGAGTAATTTTGATGGTTAATACTAAATTGAAAATCTTATTAATTTTACAGATTTTTACATTACAAAGAAACATTGTCAGAGTTGGATTGAAAATTTTCGTAGAAATTTTCGTAGAAATCATGAACTGTTCAAATTATCTATCTATCTAGTTGTTTTTTCAGTGTGTGAATGTAAAATGAAACGCAATACGTAAGAATGGTAGAATTTTAAAGAGAGTCTGGGACGGAGAAAAGGCGAAATGAGACTGAGAATTCAGAATGAAAGATCAAAAGTAAAAACAATTTGAATGGAGATTTTTAATAGAACCTTTTGACGAAAATTTTGCCTTTCCCAGGGTAACTTTTTTAAATTTAAAGCTTTTTGATAATTGTTTTCCGAAAAAATCTACGAGTTGTTTCGAAATTTGAAATAATTTGAAGACAGTTACCGTATTTTCTCTAATAGTAGTGCACCCTGAGTGTCGCCTAAATTGCTCGAAATCTCGAGAACCGCTTATCAGAACCTATCGATGTGGGGTCGGAAAATGTAACTGACGATGAGCTCTAGTGGGGGATTCGAGTGTTGAGCTTCTGCAAAAGATTGGAAAGTGTAAACTAGTCACCAACTCGGCTCGCCGGGATGCACTACTATTAGAGAAAATATGGTATTCAAAATTCAGCTTCTGTTTTCAGAAAAATCATTCTGGACACGTACAAAAGTCAAGCAACATGAAAAAAAGGTTTAAAAGTTAGCATATGATGCCGATTTTTCATTTAAGAATTTGAAGGTTGAGAATGAATATTACTGAAGTTCTTGAAGATCATTTTTCTGAAAAAAACTTATTCAAATAGTTTTGCATCAAAAAAGTTACCTTGCAAAAGCTAAAATTTCGCTAAAAACTAAAATAGATATAATAAATCAGAAAAAAATCTAAATCTTCTACTTTTCTGGTTTTATAATTAGATTAAAGTTTAAAATTTTTAAAAAAAGCGGAAGATTGCGGAAAAAAGGGAAGATTTTTTTGCTTCACACGCCAATTTCTCCCGAACTTCGTAGAGGAAATTCAATAAAAATGAGGCTCAATGACGCAGAATTATATTGCCTTTGAAAAGCTGAAATCAAGCGACAAAATGTGTCATTTGGTCAAAATGTTTTTACAACAGAAAGCACGGGATAAAATATGCTTCATGGTTGAGTGATCGCTGTATTTGTTCTATTCAAAAATTGTTGTCCAAAATAAAATTTGAACTTTGGGATTGATCTTCTAGTTGAGGTTAAGATTTCAGGAATCATCAAGAAATCCGAAACGCAATGCATCGCTTAGAATTTCAAAGCGGCGGAAAAGATGACCGGAAATGGGAGATTTGAGAGGAGATGGAATGGTAAAAGATGAAAAACAAGTTGAGCTAAAATTGGAGGCAAAATTTTTGTGAAATGTTAAGAAAGGGAAATGCCAGAAGTGGGCAAGCCTAGCTTTTGCATTTTGCCTCAAAATGCCATAAAAGAGATGGCAAACTTTGTTTTCTATTGATCCTAAAAAAAGTTATGAGTAAAAGTTTACTTTTAATAAAATTTGGCCCCATTCATTGAGCTGTTACTCGTTTTCAATATTTTGATTATGAATCAAATAATGTCGCTAACGAAAATCATAATCGGCTTGTTAATTTTTTATTATTTCAATTAAAATTTAAGAGTTTTCACGTTTTTAACTTTTTTTCTCTTATATTTTCATTAGATAAAATTTTCTCTTTAGAATAGAGGATCGATTTGAATATTTTCAGGCAATATCAATCTCAAAGCACAATGATTTTGATATCTGCCTATAAATACGATGAAATCGCGAAAATCAAAGAATTCAGGGAAACGATAAGAAGAAAAAAAACGCGCGATGTCAACTGTCAACTTGCTGAATCGTTTCTCCCTTTGATACGAATAGGACTACATCTATCACTACAGTCAGGCAAAACGAAATCTTTGTTAATCTTTTGATTTGTTATTATGTTTTTGTTTACGCTCAACAAACGTGGCTAAAACCTCAGGAACCTTGACAATATACAACAGGTCTAGGAATCAACAATCATCAATAAAACCAGCAAAGAATAAAATGTTTCCACTAGATTGGATCAAAAATAGTCTCTTCTATTTGCACATGATCAGTTAATCTTTCAGAGCTACTTATACTTATATACTTTTTGTCTGTTTGTGATTATGTTGTATTTTGAAAACACTTTTTAAATGTATTAGGTTGGCAACTAAATAATGGCCCTCGCCCTTTTTTGATAAAATCTTTTAATCTTTGCGTTTAATCTACCCTCGCTTGTTGTTAATTGAATATTACTGAATTTCTGGTGCATTATTATACGTTTTTTACTTTCCTTGATTTGATACTTTTCAAATAATTTTGTTTAGAAATGGAAGATCTCAAATATCGAATGCGTGTCTGTCTCTGGTACGACTACAAACAAGACAAAACAGCTGCCGAATCCCACAGAGATTTTATGCGAGTTTTTGGTGATGAGGCTCTTTCCGAAACACAATGTAAGAGATGATATCGACGGTTCAAGGAAGGGGATGAAAGTCTTGAAGATGAGCCTCGCCAAGGACGACCCGAACTTCTCCAGAACGATATTTTGGAAGCAGCTTTAAAGGAGGATCCAAGTCAAACATCACGCGAGCCAGGGGATCGATTGGGGTTTTCGCATACTGCAATCGAAAAGCGACTTCATGCATTGGGGAAAAGTAACCGCAGTGGAAAGTGGATTCCGCATGAATTGAGCCAAGAAAATAAGGCTACTCGTGTTATCACCGCTGGAATACTACTAAAACTTGCGAAAAAGGGAAGCTTCTTGGATTCCATTGTCACTTCTGATGAAAAATGGATCTTTTATGATAATCGAACGCGAAAACGACAGTGGCTTAGCACAAACGAAGACCCAAAACCAACGCCGAAGCCGGATATTCACTCAAAGAAAACTCTCCTCTGTGTGTGGTGGAGTTCTCGCGGGTTGGTGCATTTCGAGGTTCTCAAAAGCCGGCAAACGGTTAATTCAGAACTCTATTCGTCTCAACTACATCGTGTAGATCAAGCAATTCGCTCTCAAGGACTCGAACCATCTTCAATTCATTTTCTCCATGATAACGCAAAACCACACACTGCAAAACTTACAATGGAGAAAATCGAGGAGTTGGGCTGGAATGTTCTTCCTCATGCGCCATACAGCCCGGATATGGGGCCTAGTGATTACCATCTTTTTCGATCGATGCAACACTTTCTAGCCGAGAAAAAGTTCAATGACCTTGACGAAGTCCGAATTTCAGTGCAGAAGTTCTTTGACGATCAACCAGAAGAATTTTTCAAGAGAGGTATCCAGTTGCTCCGTCAAAAGTGGAAAGAAGTAATAAAGAATGACGGAGAATACCTTTTGGATTGATGTTGATATTTGTTCATCTTGTTAATAAATTTTTTGTTTTTACTGAAAAAGGCCATTATTTAGTTGCCAACCTGATAAAACTGTTGTTATCTTTCCTTCTTTCATGCCAGTATTTTGCTAATTCTTCTTACTTCTTTAAAAACTGATCCCTTTCCCTTACGATTAGATAAACTTGTCTATTCAAATAAAGAGAAATCATGAAAGCAAAAAGTACACAGCCAGCTTCTCAAGTTCTGCTTACCTTTCAATAAAAGGGCTACAGCCTATGTGAACGCAACAGTTTGATGGAAGACTTTTTAGCCAGTCTTCCATCAAACTTTTGGTCATAACTTGCGAAGTAGAAGCAAACAATTCAAGATCAACATACTAGTTTGAATTTGAAGAAAAATTTCTAGAAAAGGCTACTTTCATTATTGAATGGCTAGCCGGTTA